TTCTACTCAAAATGGAAGTAAGCTCAACAATTATGAAACAAGAGATTCCTCGAAACCCAACTTTTCTTCGCTGATATATTAGTTCTCCTACAGCAACGTTTCAATGTGCAAAATAAAGTCAATAAATAAGGTAGTCATGTTTTCACTGTACAGCATTGCTTGACAGTTAATGAGAATGGTGTTGACACGAGAAACCGAGTGAAGGAAGACGAGGTGTTTTAATGAAGACTCGTCATATAACTGTTTCATAACGGTCAAATAATTATTGCTACTCCAGATTAAAAATATCTTATTAGTATAAAGAATGAGAGAAGTATCAGGCCTACTTAGATTTTTCTAACTAAATTCTATGCCACTTAGTAAACAACAAACATAGTCAGGCCTGAACACGAGAGTCACATGCAGGCTCAACCGTTTCTCATTTCCTTTTATTCTTAAATAAGCTTGTGTATTTGCCAAACAATCAAGAAACATTAGCTTAGTGCTTTAGGCCAATGTGATCCTTTGCCTAGATGTTTGGGTAACTGTCGTTTGACTAGGAAGGGATATGGAGATTTTTCTAAGTTATGCAGCATGTTTGGTTCGCTGTGCTCTTTGGTTAGCAATTTTTGCTCACACCACGACATCATATTGGCATAAAACAGTATTCTTGGCCACCGTCCGCAGGATCAAGGGCCAGTCTATCACCAAGCCGGAGCTGGGTCAGCCAGCACTGTTGTCCGCTTCAATAGGCCCTAGTCAGCATCCTCTTGACATCCTCCATGCTGAGTCCTTCAGTACCATCAGGGCCCTCCAGCCAACGCCGCAGCAGTACATCGCCCTCTCCACTTGCCAGTCGAGCGAAGAGGTCCTTTACCTCAGCCATCTCAAGACGACCTGAACGGTCCTTGTCGAAAATGTGAAACAGCAAGCGGATCTTCGCCTCTCTGCAAACATTACGGGAAGGTTCAGCAAGGAAATAATATTAATTGTCTCATTCTTGATTTAAAAAGGCATTTATTTTCATTTTATCATGCTAGTAGTAGTAGCAGTAGTATAGGAAATAACATACTGATTTAATACCACTATAGGACTTTATCTACGTTAATTGAATAGTTCTCTTAAAATACAGCAAGAAAATAATAATAATTGTCTTATTATTGATTTAAAAAGGCAATTATTTTCATTTTATAATTATAGTAGTAGTAGCAGTAGTATAGGAAATAACATACTGATGTAGTACCACTATAGGACTTTATGTACGTTAATCAAATAGTCCTCTTAAAATATATGAAGGAAATAATAATAATTGTCTTATTCTTGATTTAAAAAGGCAATTATTTTCATTTTATCATTCTAGTAGTAGTAGCAGTAGTATAGGAAATA